TCTGTTGTTTTTATCACTGCTGCTGGTGCTTTCAGAGCTGCTGGTTTTGTCTCCCCCTCCCCACCCCACCCCCCATTCTGGTGTTTTTGCCACCAAACACAAAAAAATCCAAATTAACTGCCATCCAGTCAATTCCAACACATAGCAAACTGATAGGACAGGGTAGACCTGCCTCTGTGTGTTTCCAAGACTGGAACTCTGTATGGGAGTAGAAAGCCTCCTCTTCCCCATGGTTTCCAACTCAGGGCCCTGGGGTTAGCAACCCCGCTCACCACCACTACACCACCAGGGCTTCTCTGTTTTAGCAACAGGATTGTGGAAATCAGTATTTGAATTCTTGTATCAGTAGCATATTTTTTGAGAATGAAGTACTAATAAAAGGAAAAAGAGAACATTAAAAGACTTTGCTCAGGTTCAAATGATGCAATTCAACATAAAACAATTTTATAAAAACATTTGTTAGTATTTGTATAATTAACAAATATTACCTTTAAGGCATACTTATCACACTTTTTTTTTAACTAAAATTGATAATAAGGATTATTAAGAATTCTGCATGGTTTCTATGGGAGGTGGTATGATGCCAACCCTGCTGACATTATTTTCATGAGTTGCCATTTATTGAGAGAGGGAACAAAAGAAAAGGTACAATGAAAAAGAGTGAAGTTAAGTTTTGAACAAAATAAGGGTCACAGGAAGAGTAACCACATGATAAATTAGGCAATTAGAAATGCAGCTATAGAACTATGAAGGTTATGTCTATGAATATTAATTTTCTTAGTAAATAAGAAAAGTACATCATTATGGTTTATGAGTTAAGGAATTTTTTGTTTTAAATTATAGTATTAGTTGTGCTCGCTTTGGCAGCACATATACTAAATTATAGTATTAGTTATAAGAAATGCAATTGCTTCTCAAAATCAACATAACTATTTCCCAATTACTTATCCGTTTGCCAAGATTTTCATTTGGGAAACATGGAGTGCAGTGGTTAACCACACACTATGTTTAAAAGTAACATGTATTGTTGTCCCAGTATTTTAAACCTTAGTCATCTTTTATCGTTTTATTTTGTAGAATTATGTGTGACATAATTCCATTTTCTCCAAAAAATGTGATTTTGGGTTAATAAATAAAAGTTTGACAAGTAAACATTGTCAGACATCGCTGAGGACTCAACATCAGAGCAGGCATGGGAAGCAGGCCTTGGACTTGGCAGTGAGCACGTTACAGGTCACCTTGGTGGGAATGTTTTCAAGAGAAAAGATCACTCGGCAGCGGTGTCCTCAAATGCGCTCAGCATCCGTCTAATCTTCTCTTCTTTCATTGTTCCCTCAAAGCTCCGGGGAATTTGTTTCTTCCTTTTAATTAAGCTAATTCTCTCCACCTCTATCGCATGGACTCAACTCCCTCATCGTATCTGGGGCAGTTGGCACCTAATTAATCTCTCACACTGTGGGTCCCTCGTTTCCCCGTTCTTAAATACTCCACTTCGTCTTCACATTGAAAACAGCAAACATTTCATTGTATCTCTCTGATGGAATAGAACTATTTGCCTCATTTTATCCACAAACTCAAAAGAGTAATTTGTGCTGTGCCTCTACTAAATATTGATGTAAGCCCGTCTTAGTTTCGGTATACTGTTTTCTGCTTCCATCACGGTGTTGAAAATGCTCTCCAAGGGGTCACAAGAGGGCAGGGTTTGGTTTTGTGTGTTTTTAATCTATTTTTGTTTTCTCAGTCATCATATCCTTTTGAACTTAATGAGACGTTGGTACCATTGACAATTCCACTTTTCCTTGAAACAGTTTCTGCTTTGGGATGCTGAGGTGCCGAATCCCCTTTCCTATCCGGGCCAGTTCTGCGACTAGTCCAAGAAGTGCTCTTGGTTGATTACTGTTTCTCTCTCCATCTTCATTTTTCTTGAAAACTCCTCTTGGTTCATCCCTTTGTTTTCTACTGTCACTTCTAAATCCACCAATATAAAGCTAATCCGTACTCAAAGCAGCTTCATAGACACTGTTCCCAATTTCCAAGTAGCTACAGGTGAGTATTCTACTAACCTCGACCCTCCATGCATTCCCTTTGCAATGTAGACTTTCCATCACCTTCCCCAGCCCTTCAAGTTTGCGACCTTAGAGTGATTTAAAGCTATCACCAGAATGTATCATTTCTTTCTGAAATAGCTAGACAACTGCCAAAGCAGCTGGACCACTGCACAGAGAATGTGGTTGTGTTTTTAAAGCATATTTATTGACATGACTGAAAAATATATATGCCAATGTGTCCTTAGTATTGTTGACTGGGTGGCATGATTGCGTGATTTTGTAAAAAGAACTTATTTCCAATTAACTCCACCTGAGCCATTACTTTTGGCTATTACTAACTTTGATATTAAGCAAAAATAACTGATTAAAATAAGTCCCTTGCGGGCCTTATTCCTATCCATATCTATCACCCTACCTTTACCGTTTAGCCAAACCCCACTACAATCAAGTCCGTCCTGATTCAGAATGGCCTCAGGTGGGCTTCCCCGGGTGCTGACTCTTTAAGGGGGAAGATAGGCTTGTCTTTCTCCCACTGGGTGTTTGCTGGATTTGAACTGTCATCCTTGTGTTTAGCAGCCCCATGCTTCCCCAGCCATGCCAACAGGACTCCTTCCATAAAATCTAGATGATTTTAAATTTTCATTGGTTGATTCCCTGATTTAAATTTTGCTTGATAGGATTTTATTCTACATGTTATTAAAAGGTAAATGATTTTAGTTTCACCTCAATTTCTCAAGAATGCAGATTTTTTTTCACTTTGGCCTTCTAAGTCCCCTTACTAGATTATAAAGACCACCTCATGTGTTCCTTCTGCAGCCACTTCTACCATCTGCTGCTTTTCGAGTGGATCCTCCCCTCTGCTTTGATCCCTCTCCTTGCTGGTTTGCTCTGAGGTCAGACTCATGCCAACCTTTGCATTAGCTCCTAAGTATAGCTCCTGTTTATGGAAGCTATGCTAAATACCAAGCATTGTCATCTTTGATTCGTACAACAACCTTGTAAGGTAGGTATGATTACCTCTATTCAATATGTAAGACAATTTAAGCTCAAATGCTAAGAAATTCAAATAAACGTACATCCTTAGCAAATGGTAAAGAGTTAAACCCTTATTTTTCTATGACAAAACTAACATCATGTCTTCTTATCATCACCCTGTTCTTGCTAGTATGTACATATTTCCTGAAATTCCAAAGTAAATTCCTCACTTCCATGAGGCTTTGCTGGATTGCTCTGGGCTGATTCTAGCTCAGATTCCAGTCCTATAGAGACGTGTTAAACGTTAAGAAAGCAGACAGCCACATCTTTCTCCTATATGTGTAGTTAGCATTCCAATTCTTAGCCAGAAGTGCCACCAGTATGTATATATGCACACACACATCATTAGATTCATAGAACATTCTTTACTAATATAAGAAATTTTACTCAGTAACCTCTTCAATAAATTGTTAATACTTCTTGGGATATAGACACTATCTTAGCAGTTATTGGTAAATCTTGTATCGTCAACACAATACATAAGTCTGGAAATAGTTCAGTGATAATAGGATGATAGTCAATTTTCAATAAATTACAGATTGATTGTTTTATAATAAAACATGTCATTAATGCTATGCTATCTTTCCTCATGTCAAGTTACAGATAAATATCACATAAAATGGGTATAAATAAGAGATACAGTCTCAAAAACCCACAGGGAGTGTTTACTGTCTTACAAGGTCACAAGAAGCCAGAATTCCCTCAATGACAGTGAGGCTGTTGTGTTTTTATTTCTTTTCTTTTTTTTTAATAATAGGACTTCCCTGTCCTATAGGGTTGTTATGAGTTGACATAAACTCGATGGGAGTGAGTGTATATGTGAGAATAATAGGACATTTATTATATACATATCATCTTTTCCATCATACACCAACAGTCGAATCAAACATAAGACACAGTGTCATGCTATCAGGAATGGGCAACAGAATGCACCTTTCACTGCCCCCAGTAGGACAATTGAACCAACATGCATGCGGTGTTTATTTTCTGCAGGTTTGTCTAAAGTTCCATTAAAATTCCACCGTAAACACTTTTAGTATAATTAAAATATGATTACGCATTTTGTTCCTTAAAGTGTAAAGTGGCGCCTCTTCCAGTGATATTGCAGAATGATTGTGTGCATTAACTAAAAGTAGGACTATACCACTAACAGACTCCTTTTGATACCTTGCCAGTGCTCTCCAGTGATTCTAATCATGTATGATCATATATAAAACATATAGAGAAAGGTTAAAAAGGGGGGAAAGGTATATAGAGAAAACTATAAATACGGTTAGCTCAGGAAAGCTTATTAATTAAACATTTCCTTATGTTTCATCTTTTCCTGTTATAAGATGTTCTTGTTCCCAACTTTCAAAGCTTGCCTTAGGGAAGTCTCTTTTCTTAATTTCCCTCCTTGCAGATTGTGTTTCAGAAAGTTTATATTAAATGTATCTTGAGTGAGAAATTACTGGCCACTATATTAAGGCCTTCCCTCTCTCAGGACAGCTACGCATTTAGTTAATCAAGGTACGGGAGTAGAATCTATCAGAATGAACAGTTTGAAATTGCTGCTTTTATAGGCAAACATAGTTGAGCGTAGGTGATTTCATATGGCTTGGGTAATCATAAAGATATTTTTAAGCCTTTGTCATAATGTGACTGGAGCCTATAAAACTCAAGTTGTCCTCATCATTTTGTAAACAGTGTTTTATTGCACATAAAGCACGTCTATACTACAGACGCTAGCACATGGTTGAACTTAACAAAAATTTGCTATCACAAAACATATAATATATTTTAATTTTAATATACACTTCACTTTGTCCTTTATTAAATGTTTGGGAGTGTATAGCAGTGTCCTTGGAACTCTCAAGACCTATAGAACATCTATGGGTAGACCAACTAGAGCAACGGTGAAGTTACTAACCTGCTTTGGGTGTCTTTTCCTCTTTCTTAATTCGAGGTTCTGGGGTAATACAGAGAAACAACAAATAAGTAAGGGAGAAAAGCATTTGAAAACCCATCAGCATTCCTACGTGAACTGATAAAACCTGTAGTCATGAAGTCAATTCTGACTCATAGCAACGCTACAGGACGGAGTGACCCTGCCCCACAGAGTTTCCAACGCCATAGATCTCTGAAAAATGTGACCGCCTCATGTTTTTCCCCCAGGAAGCAGCTAGTGGATGGAACTGTTGACCTTTCAGTTAGAAATGAGCACTGAACCATTGCACTACCAGATCCCCATAGTGAACTGATCAAAATTCAGAAAGTTAAAATTCCCTGACATCAAGTTGATTCTGACTTAGAGCAGTAGGCAAGTTTAGTAGCCTGTTTTAAATTTCAAGTATGGCTACATAATTCTATCAATATATGAGTAGACTATATATAATTATAAAGTCACAGGAAAATATCTGATTTTTAAAAATTCTGCTTACAAAATATTTCATCATAACCAATTTTGATTATTCTGGCAGCTTCTCTTTAATAAAAATCTGTTTCCCGATTCATAAGAGTTCCCTAAGTTTTGCAAATAAGGACAGTCATAAAAATTTCTAGAAAAAGTGAAACTTTTTGCCTCCAGTTTTAGCAATTTAAGCTTGTTTCTTTATTGAGACAACCAAGGATCAGTTCACAGAGCTCCATCTGGTGGTTAATTTAATAATGTCAAACTGATATTATTACTGTTGCTTTATTAGTATTACTATTATTATACATTTTTAAATTGGGTTATGACCAATGTAATAATGCAAACAATATACTAAAGTATTTATGTTCTTATTAAAATTGAAATATATTTCCTAGGAAAGCCGCTTTTGTTTAGAAATTCTTCATTCTAACTTAATATTAGATAGGATAAATATATAACTTTATAAGCTACCCAAATACTATTCATAGCAATTTATTATGATAGTTGACTATATTTTCATTTTCCTTAGTTTCTCCTCTAATTTAATCAACTTTGCCTAAATTTTCTTTCTTTTTTTGTTTAAGTAGTTTATTCTGTTTCTTTACGTGAGGGTTTTAATTTTCCATTTCTGCAAAATTGTATCAGGGTCACATGCCAGGAAAAGTGGGAGGCTTCAAACAGTTTGTGGGGAAAATGGAATTAAAAGGTAATGGACAATTTTGCCTTGCAGACCTGGTTGGACTAGATGATGCACAGCGGTACAGACGGGAATTGGGAACGCAGGGAATCTAGGACAGAGGAACCTCTCAGGACCAGGGGTGACAGTG